TGACCTTGTCGGCTTTCAGTTTTGGATGTATAGTTGTCTATAGCAGCCTTGCTGGCTCGCCCAGTGTATTCTTCATGTATAGTTGTCTATAGCAGCCTAGGTAGGTTTCCTTCATGTATGTTATTTTTGCAATCCAGTAGATGTTATTCAGATTCATATCTTAGACGCATGCTTAGGGGTGTTTGACAAGTAGGACTTAAGCACCCGTTGTGGCCCATCAATTTGGGTCGTGACAAGTGACCAGTCCAGCAGACCTGGCCCGAGCTAGTCACAGCCGCCACGTCCTCCCAGACCTTGTTTTATGTGTGGAGACACACGCCATATGGTGAAAGATTTCCAAGCTTAGGAGGGGTGCACCTCCACAGACTTTTCAGCCACAATGTGCTCCGCAGAGTTCCCAGGCTATGATCACAACACTAGTTTCTGCCCCACCTGTCCAACCAGCTAAATGTGGAGGCCGGGGAGGTAGAGGTTTCCCTAGAGGGGGAGGCCAGGCCAGATACTATGCTCTTCCTGCTCGTACTGAGGCCGTCACCTCCGATTTTGTCATCACAGGTATTATCTTGGTTTGCCATAGTGATGCATCGGTTCTATTCAATCCAGTCTCCACTTATTCTTATGTGTCCTCTTATTTTGCCCCGCATTTGGGCGTATCTCAGGATTCTTTGAGTTCCCCTATTTATGTTTCTACTCCTGTGGGAGATGCTCTTATTGTGGACCGCGTTTATCGGTCGTGTTTGATTGCTCTTAGTAGTTTTGAGACTAGAGCCGATTTATTATTGCTTAGCATGGTAGATTTTGATGTTGTCTTAGGTATGGACTGATTGTTGCCCTATTATGCTATTCTTGGTTGTCACGCCAAAACTGTGATGCTATCTATGCCAGGTGTACCGCGAGTAGATTGGAAGGGTTCTTTAGATCACACTCCTAGTAGAGTTATTTCATTTCTTAAAGCATAGCTAATGGTTGAGAAGGGGTGTGACGCGTATCTAGATTATGAGAGAGATGTCAGTATTGATACCCCTACAGTTGATTCAGTACCAGTAGTATGGGATTTCCCTAATGTGTTTCCAACTGATCTTGCGGGTATGCCACCCGACAGAGATATTGTTTTAGGTGTTGATTTGTTGCCGGGACTCAACCCATTTCTATTCCTACTTATCGCATGGCCCCTCCTGAGTTGAAGGAGTGGAAGGATCAGTTACAAGAATTGCTTGATAAGGGTTTTATTCGGCCCAATGTATCGACTTGGGGTGCTCTTTCTTGTTTGTGAAGAAAAATGATGGTTCTATGTGTATGTGCATTGATTATCGCAAGTTGAACAAAGTTACAGTGAAGAACTAGTATCCTTTGCCTTGTGTTAATGATTTGTTTGACCAGTTACATGGTGCTCGAGTGTTTTCTAAGATTGACTTGCGTTCAGGTTACCATAAGTTAAAGATTCGGGAGCCAGATATCTCGAAGACTGCTTTTAGGACTCGGTATGGTCATTACGAGTTCCTTGTTATGTCATCTGGGCTGACCAATGCTCCAACAACCTTTATGCATTTGATGCACTGCGTGTTCCGGCCATATCTTGACTCATTCGTCATTGTCTTTATTGATGATATTCTGGTATACTCCCGGAGTCAGGAGTATCATGAGCAGCACCTGAGGACAGTGCTTCAGAGTTTGAGAGAAAAATAATTATATGCAACGTTCTCAAAATGTGTGTTTTGGTTGGATTTCGTGGCATTTTTGGGTCACGTGGTATCGCATGAAGGGATCAAGGTGGATCCGAAGAAAGTGGAAGTAGTGCAGAGTTGGCGCAGACCATCCTCAGCTACAGAGATCCATAGTTTTCTCGGCTTGGCAGGTTATTACCGTCGATTTGTTGAGGGATTTTCATCTATTGCAGCACCTATGACCAGGCGGACCTAGAAAGGTGCTCCATTCCATTAGACAGAAGAGTGTGAGGAGATCTTCCAGAAGCTCAACAAAACTTTGACTACAACCCCGGTATTGATATTGCCTACAGGTTCGGGGTCCTATGCTGTCTATTATGATGCCTCGATGATTGGACTTGGACAATATTGATGTAGGACGATAAGGTAATTTCCTATGCGTCCAGATATCTAAAGGTGCATGAGAAGAATTATCCTGTCCATGATGTCAAGTTAGCTGCTATTGTTCACGCCTTAAAGATTTGGCGTCATTATTTGTATGGTGTACCTTCTGAGATCTATACTGATCACCAGAGTTTGAAACATCTATTCAAGAAGAAAGACCTTAATTTTCACTAGAGGAGGTGGTTAGAGCTGCTGAAGGACTATGGTATCACTATCTTGTATCACCCGGTCAAGGCCAATGTGGTGGCCGATGCTTTGAGTCGTCGGGCAGAGAGTTTGGGGAGTTTGTCTTACCTACTAGCAGCGGAGAGGCCCATGGCGATAGTTGTTCAGGCCTTAGCCAGCCAGTTTGTCAGATTGGATCTTTCGGAGCCCAATCGGGTTCTAGCTTCTGTGATTTCTCGGTCTTCCTTATTTGATCACATCAGAGAGCGTTAGTATAATGACCCTCATTTGCTCGTCCTTAAGGACAAGGTTCTGCATGGTGATGCCAGAGATGTGACCATTGGTGATGATGGGGTATTGAGGATGCATGGTCGAGTATATGTACCCAATGTTGATGGGCTTCGAGAGATGATTCTAGAGGAGGCCCATAGTTTGTGGTATTCTATCCATTCGGGTGCCGCACAGATGTACCAGGACTTGAGATAACACTATTGGTGGAGACGGATGAAAAAAGATATAGTTGGGTTTGTAGCTTAGTTCCTCAATTGTCAGAAGGTAAAGTATGAGCACCAGAGACCGGGTGGTTTGCTTCAGCAGATAGAGATTCCGATGTGAAAGTGGGAGTGTATCACCATGGACTTCGTAGTAGGACTCCCATGGACCTTGAGGAAGTTCGATGCCATTTGGGTGATTGTGGATTGGCCGACCAAGTCTGCGTATTTCATTCCTGTGTGTACTACCTATTCTTTAGAGCGGTTGGCGGAGATTTATATCCGGGAGATTGTTCGTCTGCATGGTATTCTAGTTTCCATCATTTCAGATAGAGGTACTCAGTTTACATCACGATTCTAGAGGTCCGTACAACATGATTTGGGTACTCGGGTGGAGTTGAGCACAACATTTCACCACCGAATAGACGGACAATCCGAGCGCACTATTTAGATTTTCGAGGATATGCTTCGTGCATGTGTGATGGAGTTTGGATGTTCTTGGGATCAATTCTTGCCACTGTCGAAGTTTTCCTACAACAATAGTTATCAGTCCAGCATTCAGATGGCACTGTATGAGGCCTTGTATGGTAGGCGGTGTAAATCCCCGGTGGGTTGTTTTAAGCTTGGCGAGGCTATATTATTTGGCACAGACTTGGTTCAGGATGCCCTGGAGAAGGTTAAGGTGATTTAGGATAGACTCCGTACAGCCCAATCCAAATAGAAGAGTTATACAGATCGGAAGGTTCGTGATGTTTCCTATATGGTTGGATAGCGAGTCTTGCTTCGAGTTTCGCCTATGAATGGCGTTATGAGATTTGGGAAAAAGGGGAAATTTGAGTCTGAGGTTTATTGGTCCTTTTGAGGTATTGCGACGTGTTGGGATGTTGCTTACGAGCTTGCCTTACCTCTCAGCTTGGCAGGAGTTCATTCGGTATTTCATGTTTCGATGTTCTAGAAGTATCACGGTGATCCGTTGCACGTGTTGGATTTTAGTTCAGTACAGCTGGACAAGGATCTAGCCTTTGTTGAGGAGCCAGTGGCTATATTAGATAGGCAGGTTCGAAAGCTGAGGTCAAAGAGTATTGCATTAGTAAAGGTTTAGTAGCGGGATCAGTCGATCGAGAAGGTGACTTTGGAGACCGAGCAAGATATGCACAGCCGATACCCTCATCTTTTCACCACTTCAAGTATGTCTCTATACTCGTTCGAGGATGAATGAATGTTTTAAGATGGGGAGGATGTAACGACCCGACTGGTCATTTTGAGAATTAACTCTTCGATCCCCTATTAATTGCTTTCCCCATGTTTGTTTCTACTATTGTGAGTTGCCAGGAAGATTCACTATGAGTTTCGGAGTGTTTTGGGACATTTAGTCCCTAAATGAGGTCTTAAGCTTTAGAATTTGGACCGTACTCGGAACAGCGTGAAGACAGCCTCATAATGGAATTCCGTTACCTCCGTTGAGTGATTTAGGGCTTAAAGCGTGTTCAGATTGTGTTTTGGAGGTCCGTAACTTATTTAGGCTTGAAATGCTGAAAGTTTAATTTTTGATGTTTCCGGATCGATAATGAAATTTTTATATCAGAGTTGAAATCCGATTCTGAAAGTTGGAATAGCTCCGTAGTGTTGAATGTGAGTTGTGTGCAAAATTTGGGGTCAATTGAACATGGTTTGGTTGGTTTCGACATCAGTTATATGATTCTGGATATTTCAAGTTCATTAGTCTTGGATTGGAGGGTGATTCATGGATTTAGCTTTGTTTGATGTGATTCGAGGGTTGGATTAAGTTCATATGATGTTTTAGGGTCGGTTGGTATGTTTGGTTGAGGTTCCGGGGCCTCGGGTGAGTTCTAGATGCTTAACGGAAGTTGAGTTTGGACTTAGGCTACTTTGAAGTTTGTTGCTTCTATTATTTTTACACCTATGGTGAGGAGCCCGCAGGTGTGGCCCGTAGAAGCGAGAAAGAGGTCGCAGGTGCAGTTTGGGGCACATAGGCCAGTGACCGAAGATGCGGCTCAAGGACCGTTGAAGCGGATCGCATCTGCGGAGACGGGAGCACAGGTGCGGTGCCTAGAGAGTTAATGAAATTCCGCAGATCCAGAGCCCAAGCCACAGGTGCGGTCCCATGACTGCAGAAGAAGAAATTGTTGGGCAGAAATATGAAAAATCAAGGGTTTGAGTTCATAACTTGTAAAATAAAATTGGAGCTTAGGGGAAGGCGATTCTATGGGGATTTTGAAGAGAAGACCATTGGGTAATGATTCCTAATCCCTTTTTGATTGTATCCCTTTTTGGGGAAAAGTTCTTAGGCCGAATTTTGGGAATTTGATTGAGATTTTGGTATCAAATTTGAGTGATTTTTGTTTTGGATTTGAGTGATTTTGGTATGGTTAGACTCATGAGTGAATGGGTGTTCATAATTTGTGACTTTTATCCGATTCTGAGACGTGGGCCCAGGGAGGACTTTTGGGCATTTTTTTATTTTCTTGCCTTAGCTTTGATTCCTTTAGCTAAATTCGTTGTTTGTAGTTATATTTACATTATGAAATTGATTTGATTAGATTTGAGTCACTCGTGACAAGAGCGTGATTTCAGATTGCTTTGAGCTGGATCGAGGCAAGTGGCTTGCCTAACCTTGTGTGGGGGAACTCTCCTTAGGACTGATATTGTTGTTATATGAATGATGTGTACATAAGGTGACGAGTGCTTACACGTGCTAATTGCTGGAAAAACCCATTTTCATTAAGTAAATATCTGTGGTTCCTTTAAGTTGAACACTACTTGTATTTTAAAGCCTACTATTTAGCTTAGAAAAGCATGATTAAGTGATTTAGTTGTTCTATCTGCTTAAATTGTTTACTTGAATTCTGTGCAGCATGTCTAGAATAGAAATCTCTACTTTTCTTGGTACGAACTTGAATAGAAGTGTAGATTCTTTTTATTGAGACTGTTGTGTGCTTACTTTGGGACTACAGGATGATATCCTAGGAGATCCCCCTACATGTTTACTTTGGGAATACAGATCGATATTCCGGGAGATCCCCCTGCACATTTATATTTGGGACTACAGGACGACATCCCAGGAGATTCCCTTGTACTGGATATTTACTTTAGGACTACGGATTTGTATTCCAGGAGATTCCCCTGCATATTTATGATTTGGACTATGAGAAGATATCCCAAGAGATCCTCTGCACGTTTATGTTTGGGATCACGGGATGATATCCTGGGAGACCCCCTGTTACTATCTTTGTGTACTGAGTTATATTCTTTCTGTGATTTTATTCCTTATCAACTGTTAGTATTTTAATTATCTTATCACATTTCATACTATTTAAACTTGTTATATATATATATATATATATATATAAAACTAGTAGGGCCCTGACCTTCCTCGTCACTACTCGAACGAGGTTAGGCTTGGCACTTACTGGGTACCGCCGTGGTGTACTCATGCCCTTTTCTTGCACATAATTTTTGTGTGCAGATCCAGGTTCTTCTGCTCAGCCATTCTATCAGTGAGGCGGGCGATATCAGAGACTTTGAGGTATATCTATCGCGTCCGTAGTCCTAGAAGTCCCTCTCTACTCTCCCTTTTAGCTTTAGACTTCATGTATTTACTTTTGATTAGACATTCTGGAGTTAGAAGACTATGTAGTTTTCTATAGCTTGTGATTTCATGAGATTCCAGGTTTTGGGAGTTTGATTCAGTTTTGAGAGTATGTATTGTATATGACGAGCGACATTGTAATCTCTTTTATTATGTTTTATCCGCAACTTGCTAGTTTCGTATTTCATTTCCTTTTTCCGCAATTTGTTAGGCTTACCTAGTCGTAGAGACTAGTTGCCGTCACGACAGTTCACGGAGGGAGAACTTGGGTCGTGACACTTGATGTTACCCGGTTTGCAGTTAGGATTGGCCAGCTACTTGATAGAACCTGAGGAAGTCCTTATGTCCCACCAAAATAAACTATTACCAGAGTCAATTTTCCAGATAATGCTATTCTCGGTCCTATCCCTTGTTTCCAGTAGGTTCCTCTAAGAACTGGAGTCTTTAGAGTTGATAACTTTTGATATAGGGTTGGACCTAGGGCAATATTTAGCGTGTAAGAACTTGGTCCAAAGATTGCCTTGTGTTCTAAACCTCTGCCATCTTTTGGCCGCAAAGGCATTACATATATATTGTAATTTCTTGAAACCATCTCCTCCTTCCAATGGAGGGAAGCTCATATTATCCCAAGAACACCAATGATAGCTCTTCTTGCCTTACTTCTCTCTCCAAAAATAATTAGACAAATACATTTCGATTTGTTTAATTATTGTTTTAGGAGGGACCATTGCAGCTATAAGGTATAAAGTTTGTGATTGGAAAACATGACTGATAATGATGGATCTTCCTCAAAGGGAAAGTAATTTTCCTTGCCAAGAACCAATTTTGTTCAAGGCTTTGGTAGCTAGGTTAGAGAAATAACACACTTTCTTCCTTCCGATGTAGATAGGGCATCCAAAGTACGTGAAGGAAAACTCTGACTGTTTGAACCGACTCCATCTTCTAATCTTTCTGTTGGTTCTTTTGTCTCTAAAATTCTATGTGAGAAAGAAACTCTTCTCTTTATTGATTTGTTGTCCAGAAGCATCTTGGTAGTCCTCCAACACATTCATCAATAGCCTTATTTTATTTCACATCACCAGAAGAGAAAAGAATTAGGTCATCTGCATAACTAAGATAGTTTATTTTAGGTCCTTTGTTTCTCATGGAGAAGCCAATAAATTGGTTATTTCCATTGAGTCTGTTAAAGGCTTAGTAAGAGCTTCAGTAGCTAAAATATAAAGTGATGGGGATAAAGGATCTCCCTATTTTTGTCACGACCCAAAATCCCTTTGAAGGAGTCGTCATGACACATAATCTCTAAAACTAGGTAAGCCTAATATTAACAGAAATAACATCAATATTTGCTAACATCAAGCCATTTCGAAATAGAAAACTCTGTACCATTTACAATCACAAAACTAGTAGCACAAGTCATAAGTATTTCTTGGAGTAGTCATACATATGAATACATAACTGTTCCAGAACAAAAGGAAATAATGGAAATAAATACAATAGAAGGTGAGTACGAGGCATGCAAATGCAGCAAAAAGTTTACCTTGAGTCTCCATATAAACGATCTGCAGAAAAACTAACGATTAAATACCTGGATCTGTGCAAAAACATACAGAAGTGTAGAATGACCACACCACAATGGTGCCTCGTAAGTATTAAGACTAACCTCGGTGGAGTAGTAACGAGGAATAGTTAAGACACTTACTGATCTAATAACCTGAACAGGATATGACATAAAGCTAACAAGATAGTAATATCAAAGTAATGCTAATAACAGGAAGAATTCAAATTACAAAACAGTAGTGATAATAAGGGGAAAACATAAATGGCAACGAGAAATAACTAAGTAATTAAGAAACATCATAGTTGGGATACATATAAGTGTAAATGTGCTCAAGCAGGGAAAACGATGTCAACTCAACCAAACAAACTGTTTCTAATACACGAACCCAATAATTCTATTTCTCGTAATCTGATATCATAAACCAAAACTTCTAACCCTTTAACACACATAACACCTTGTGCCCACATATTTACATCTCATTTGCAGGGCGAAATCCACGTACTACTCAGTACATAATATCCGTGCCAAATGCTAATTAAGATGTTTACGAAGTTCCATTTATATATCATAAAATAAATTTACAGTTTTTAGACCAAATAGGAAACTGACGAGAAAGATGAATTTATTTTAGAAATCATTTGAGTGAATAAGAATAACATTTTCAAATAAAAATACAACATCGAATAAGTTATTGCCTTGAATATAGGATTCATTAAATTAAAACTTACTAGCGATTCTTTATTTTTTTGTACAATACAAACATCAGACACGTTAAGGAGATTTAGTTGATAAACCAATTGAAATAAAATATAACAATTATTAGAATCAGTAATACTAAAATATACGTCGAGTTCTAATTTAAAAGTCATTTAATGTAGCATGATGTTACAACTCAGTAATGCGAGAGGTAATGACTCAACGTAGTAAATTCACCTTGAAAATCAATTTAGAGGAATAATAGTACTAGAAAAGATCTCAGGAAATGAAGGCAAGGCAATAATGCTAGTGATAATGACTAAATCCTCGAAAGATAGTGAAAACCGGAAAATGCAAATTCTCATAATCTCGTACGAAGGAACTGAAGCCCATACAATAAAATAGGGGATACAAAAGACACAAATATTTTGCAGCATTGTCACGACCCTAAATACCCGTTCGTGATGGCACCTATCACGTTACTACGTAAGCCAACCCAAACCATTAACCACAACAAGTTCCTTTTATAAAATATCATTTTCTAACACAGGTTTAAATACCAAATTTTCATAATAAGTATTTAAAGCACAATTTCATACGCGGAATGTCAAATAAACATGAAAGCTACACAGCCCCAAATATCTGGTGTCACGAGTCTAGAGCCTCTAATACATGTCTGAGCATATACTACATCACAAGCCTAGAAAATGCGAAAAAGTAACAAGATAGGGAGGAGAAAACATGGCTGCGGATGCCAGGCAGCTACCTGGAAATCTCCGGCAAACGCTGAATCAGCTGAAGACCTTCACTTGGCCGCTCGGGAACCTGGATCTGCACACAACATGCAGGGAGTAACGTGAGTACGCCAACTCAGTAAGTAACTAAGGTAAATAAGGACTAAAAGCAGTGACGAGCCGTTCAAAATCATATACTGAATAAACAACAGAATAACGGATCAACTTTACAGTTTAAAACTAGTTTCGTCAGGAAATCAACATTTTCAGTTTAAACACTTGAAATCATATACTTAGCAATATTTCCAATAGAGGCTTATTTAAAAGAAGAGTGAAATCAGTGAAAACATCATAACTGGCCCCTTGGGCAAGGAATCACTCAGGATATGGCCTCTCGGGCAGCCTCTCAATTACTCGTGACTCAACACTCGTCACTCACTCTCTTTAATATCTCGTAATAATAGAAATCATAATAACCGCTGTGGTGTGCAGCCCGATCCATAATTTATAGTCGACTACTCTCAGTGGGGATGTACACACTCCGGAGGGGCTCCTACAGCCCAAGCGTCATATTGCTGCGGCGTGTAGCCTGATCCAATATATATATCACTGCAGCGTGTAGCCCGATCCATATAAGTATCATTGCGCCGTGCAACCCGATCCATAACTTACATATATAAATATCCTCACAGTTGGGTTCTCAAACTCTCTCAGTCAATAACCTTACAACCTCTCAGGCACAACAGTGGAAATAAGGGAACTCAGTCCGAATAGTTCTCTCATTTAGAAGTGGAAAGATAAAATCAGTTTTAAACATTTAAACATGTAAAACATGACTGGGGATATGCTTTTAGCAAGTAAAGTGAGGAAAAACAACCAAAATTCCCCTAAGGGTTTCTACACGTCGGCACAAGGCCCCAAACATGCCATACAACCCATAATACAGTATAAATATCCAAAATACGAAATAATATAATATTTTTAAATCAAATACGCGGCTTAATAGTCGCTACATAGCTTAATAGTCGCTACGCGGCTTAAACATCTATCCTCACGAACCGATTGGCCAAGGCCTGAACATCAACTACAAGAGGTCTCTCCCCAACTGGAATATATGCCAAACTCCCCATACTCACTGCCTTTCATCTCAAAGCATCGGCCGCCATATTGTCCTTCCCCGGATGGTACAATATAGTGATATCATAATCCTTAAGCAACTCCAACCATCTCCGCTGCCTCAAATTAAGATCCTTTTTCTTGAACAAGTGCTGGAGACTGCGATGATCAGTGAACACCTCACAAGACACGCCATACAAGTAATGCCTCCAAATCTTCAATGCGTGAACTATGGCAGCCAACTCCAAATAGTGAATAAGGTAGTTCTTTTCATGGGGCTTCAAATGACGAGAAGCATAAGCAATAACTCTACCCTCATGCATCAACACACATCCAATCCCAACTCTCGAGGCATCACAATACACGATATATAAACCTGAAGCTGATGGAAAAACCAATACTGGAGCTGTGGTCAAAGCTGCCTTGAGCTTCTGAAAGCTCTCCTCACACTCGTCTAACCATACAAATGAAGCACCCTTCTGAGTCAACTTGGTCAAGGGAGATACAATAGATGAAAATTTTTGAACAAACCGGCGATAATAGCCTGCCAAACCAAGAAAGTTGCGAATCTCTATGGCTGAGGATGATTTGGGCCAACTCTGAACCGCCTCTATCTTCGGCGGATCAATCTGAATACCCTCGCAGGGCACCACGCGCCCCAATAAAGCCACTGAACTGAGCCAAAACTCACACTTGGAGAATTTTGCATAAAGCTTCTCCTCCCTCAATCTCTGCAACACAACTTTCAAATGTTCCACGTGCTCCTCCTGACTACGCGAATACACCAGAATATCATCAATGAAGACTATGACAAACGAATCAAGATAAGGTCGGAACACGTTGTTCATCAAATGCATGAATGTTGCTGGTGTATTGGTCAGCCCAAAAGACATCACCAGGAACTCATAATGACCATATTGGGTCCTCAAAGTTGTCTTAAGAATATCCGAGTCCCTGATCTTCAGCTGGTGATAACCTGAACGAAGATCAATTTTGGAAAACACTCTTGCTCACTGAAGCTGGTTGAATAGATCATCAATGCGAGGGAAATGATACTTGTTATTAATTATTACTTTGTTCAATTGCCTATAATCAATGCACATTCTCATAGTTCCATCCTTCTTCTTCACAAATAGAATTCGCACACCCCAAGGTGACACACTAGGCCGAATGAACCCCTTATCGAGGAGTTCCTAAAGATGTTCTATTAATTCCTTCAACTCCGCTGGTGCCATACGATACGACAGAATAGAAATGGGCTGATTGCCCGGCACCAGGTCAATACCAAAATCAATATCCCTGTCTGGTGGCATGCTTGGCAGGTCTGCAGGAAACACATCCGGAAAATCCCTCACAACTGGGACAAAATCAATACTATGAGTCTCAGCTCTGACATCCCTCACAAAGTCTAGATACGAAAGACATTCCTTCCCAACCATACGCTGGGCCTTAAAGAATGAGATCACTCTACTGGGAACATAATCAGTCAAACCTCGCCACTCAATCCTTGGCACACCCGGTATAGCCAATATGATTGCCTTGGTATGACAGTCCAGAATAGCACAACACGGAGATAGCCAATCCATGCCCAAAATGATATTGAAATCCATCATACACAATAGTAAAAGATCCACTCGGGTCTCCAGACCCCCAATAGTCACCACCCACGACTGGTACACACGGTCTACAACAACAGTATCACCTACTGGTGTAGATACATAAACAGGTGAAACAAGAGACTCACGGGGCATATCTAGATAATGGGCAAAGTACGATGACACATAAGAAAAGGTGGAACCGGGATCAAACTTACAGAGGTATCTCTATGGCAGATAAAAACAATACCTAAAATCACGGCATCTGAAGCAACAACATCTGGTCTACCTGGGAGGGCATAGAAATGGGCCTGACCACTACCTGATCGACCTTCCCTTCTAGGGCGACCCCTGGCTGACTGACCTTCACCCCTAGCTGGCTGGGCGGGTGGTGAAGTAATCGGAGCCGAAGTGGAGGGATAATCCCTTTGTTGAGACTAACAATCACAAAGACGAGGGTATTGCCTCCTCATATGCCCAAACTCTCCACAGTCATAACAACTCCCCGGTGCTGGAGATGGGGACTAACGGGAACCCCTGGCACCGGAGTGACCAGTAAAAGGACTTGGCATGGGAACACCTTGCACCGATGGAGCTCGGAACGAACTCTGAGCTGGAAGGGCAATGAGTGATGAGTGGCCCTAATGAGAACTGTGAGAACCATGACCCGATGATTCCCCACGATAACTTGGGTGAGCTGAATGAGCCTACCTGAATGGGCGACCTCTGCCCTGCTGGAACTGACCTCTTGAAGGAGTACCACTGTAACTACCAGATCCTTGAGGCCTCTTGGCCTCCCTATCCTCTCGCTCCTAGCGACGAACAGACTCAATCTCACGGACAATATCCATAACCTCCTCGAAAGTAGCACCTGTCACCCTCTCCCTAGTCATAAAAATCCAAAGCTGCTATGTGAGACCATCAACAAACCTCATAATCCTTTCTCGATCTGTGGGAACCAACCAAACCGCATAACGGGTTAACTCAGAGAACCACATCTCATACTGCATCACAGTCATCTCTCCTTGACGCAACTGCTCAAGCTGCCTGCACAGCTCCTCTCAGTGAGACTGTGGCACATATTTCTCTAGAAAGAGAATAAAGAGCTGATGCCAATTAAGGGGTGCTACACCAATAGGCCTATGCCTCTCATACGCCTCCTACCAAGTGAAGGCAGCCCCAGAAAACTGAAAGGAGGTAAAAGCTACACCACTGGTCTCTAGAATCCCTGTTGTACGAAGCATCCTCTGGCATTTATCTAAGAATCCCTGGGCATCCTCGCCCTCTGCACCGCTTAAAGTCGGAGGTTTGAGTCTACCAAACCTCTCTAGTCGACGCTGCTCGTCGTCCGACATAACTGGTACCACAAACTCCTGAGCTGGTACAACCGGCTGGGCTGGAGGTACCCCCGGTGTCTGGAGTCCTTGCACAACCTGCTCGGGTGTGCGAGCAATGGGAGTCTGGGTGCCTCTCCCGTCCTGAGAAGTAGCTGCGGTCGTAGTAACTAAAATTGCCTGAGCCAAACCGGTACACACTGAAGGCCTGGAATCAGAATGGGCATAACTGATGCCTGAACTGGCGCTATTGTAGCGTCCACAGCTGGGACCTGATCCTGAATTGGGGTAGCTGGTGGATTTGCAGGTGTTGCCCTAGCTGCTATGCCCCTACCACGGCCTCAAGCGTGTCCTCGGCCGCTGGTGTCCCCAACTGGTGGTTGTCCACCCTGCCCGGTAGCATACGTCCTCACCATCTGTGAGAGAATGGAAAAACAGAAGTTTAGTATTCGGATCAACAGATTCGCACGACAAGAATTTCAAGAATATGAAGATTTTCCTAAAGTTTCTGCAGCCTCTCGAGAATAAATACACATGTCTTCGTACCGATCCATGAGACTCTACTAAACCAACTCATGACTCGCAAGACCTATGTAACCTAGGCTCTGATACCAACTTGTCACAACTCCAAATACCCGGTCATGATGGAGCCTATCTCATTACTAGGTAAGCCAACCCAAACCATTAACCACAACAAGTTCCTTTTATAAAAACCATTTTCTAACACAGGGTTAAATACCAAATTTTCATAATAATGATTTAAAGCACAATTTCATATGCGGAATGTCAAATAAACATGAAAGCTACACAACCCCAAATATCTGGTATCATGAGTCTAGAGCCTCTAATAAGTGTCTGAGCATCTACTACATCACAAGCCTAGAAAATGAGGAAAATTTACAAGATAGGGAGGAGAAAACAGGCTGCGGACGCCATGCAGCTACCTGGAAATCTCCAGCAAATGCTGAATTAGTTGAAGACCCTCACTCGGCCGCTCGGACACCTAGATCTGCACACAAGGTGCAAGGAGTAACGTGAGCACACCAACTTAGTAAGTAACTAAGGTAAATAAGGACTGAAAGTAGTGACGAGCAGGTCAAAATCATATACTGAATAAACAACATAATAACGAATCAACTTTACAGTTTAAAACCATTTTTGTCAGAAAATCAACATTTTCAGCTTAAACACTTGAAATCATATACTTAGCAATATTTCCAGTAGAGGCTTATTTAAAAGAAGAGTGAAATCAGTGAAAAAATCATAACTGGCCCTTCGGGTAAGGAATCACTAATGATAGCTTCGAAAAATAGCTTTGAATGGACTCCGGAATGCCAATGCGCCTTAGAGGAGTTGGAGTGATATCTGAGAAGACCACCTTTACTTCACACCCCAAAGGAGGATGAAACGTTATATTTGTACCTGGCTGTATCCGAGGTAGCGGTAAGTGGTGTGCTGGCTCGAGAAGAACAAGGTACGCAATTCCTTATTTTTTATATAAGTCGGACCCTGGGAGATGCCGAAACCAGGTATTCGCACCTAGAAAAATTAGCTCTTGCATTAATTAGGGCATCTCGAAAATTAAATCCTTATTTTAAATGCCATCATATTTGTGTGTAAATGACATATCCTCTTCAACGCATATTGCATAAGCCCGAGTTATCGGGTCGACAAGCCAAATGGGCCATCGAACTCGGAGGGTACGATATCAAATATCAACCCCGGACGACTATCAGGTCCCAAATTCTGGCTGATTTTGTGGCTGACTTTACACCCACCCTCGTGCCCGAGTTAGAGAAAGAGCTTCTGCTAAAAACGGCCATATCTTTGGGGGTATGGACCTTGTTCACTGTGAGCACGTGATTTTTTCCCTATATGAATTACTCCCATAAATTCAAAATAAAACAATTTCTTTCAGTGTTTGCAATTTTGGGGATTTTCTTGGCATTTTCTGGTAATTGTTTGCATTTGTCTATGCATTTTTAATTTATTTTATTTAATTAATGAAAATTACAAAAAAATATGTTGCATTTGCATTTAGGATTTAATTTTACATTATAGGATTAATTGACAAATTAGTTATTTTATAAAAATAGGGAAAAATCACAAAATAGTTTATTTTGCACTTTTGATTTTAATTTTGAATTTTGGTAGTTTTTCCTTTAATTTGGTTTTTAATTATTTGTAGTAACAATTATTAGGATTAATTAATTTAATATGGTAGGATAATTTGGTTTAGGATTTAATTTAGGTGTTAATTTTAATTTTGGAAAAAAAAAAGAAAAAGAATTTTTTAAAGAAAAATGAATTGAAAAAAAAGAAGAAAGAGAAAAGAAATAAGTGAAAGGAATTAAAATATGGGTCAAAGTCAGTCCAAGTTTCCCAGCCCAAACAAAATTACCCATCGGTCAGCCCAAGACCCTCGGTCCGTTTGCCCCAAACCCGCCCCATTTTCCCCCCTACTGCATAAAATTTGTATATCATTTCTATCCTAAAAAAACCTAAAATCCTAAAGACCCCTCAAAGCGGTGCCAACTATTGTTCTTCTTCTCCAGTCCGATTCAACCCCAACTCGCCTGAAAACTCAGGCGAGTTCACTCACACGCACCCTTATCCCACCACGTCAGTAAGATTCCAACGGCCTCTGACAATATAAGAAGGTTCCTTCCGGATTTCTCACGTGTCTTTCACTTGTTGAGCGATTTGTTGGATATATGGGAGCCGTGGATGGATGAAAATCAATCTATGCCCTCCATCTGTCACGAAAGATGGAAAGGATTTCTAGATTTTTAGAAGGTTCGAGATTTTGGAGGGGTTATATAAGGTAAGGATTTTTATTTATTTTAATCCGCTAGGCAAAACGCCTAGGGCTAGTTTTATTTATAACCATATAAAATACGAAATACAATGTCATGATATCCTACGAACTGAAAGAAAGAAATAAAGTTTGAACTTAACAAGTATCCTATTATCAAAATTGAGTGTTGCACTCAACCTTGACGTCACATTAAGGCTATTAAACTTTGTAATAGAATTCTGCATCCACGAACGTGCATGTGAAAGGCACAATGCCACGTTCCTTCTTTAAAGCATGTTGTACTTTGTTTCCATATCGATTTCCTTCCATTCTCCATAGTAGACTCACTTGCTCTCCTCGATGTACCTTTATTAACTAGTCTTGGCGTGCAAATCCATTTGAAAATCCATTTCCAACTGTCGTTCCTCCATCCGTTCATCCATGGTGGTTGCAGCATTGCACTTAATTTATTGCACGCCATCTGCTCGTAGCCTACTTCGACGCACGACACGCTGAGTAGTCAATACAGGTTCGAAGTACGTGAGCTACACCTAGTGCCTTTGCTCAACATCATGTGTTGTCTGCCATGCCTTCCACATTAAACCATGTGTGCACATTAAAATATTATTATAAATCAGAAAAAGCCTCAAAGCATGGTTCCCTGCGTGCTCATTGTTCCCAAGCACTTCCAGCTGTTGTGTACACGATCAGCACATTATCGTAAAATATTATTCTTGCTTCATCGATTGAAGCTTTGTGGAAGCACGTGATCTCCAGCAAAATGAGTTGTTTGTCATGCCTTCCACCTTAAACCCTGTGTGCACATAAAGATTATTTAATCCTAAAGTGTATTGAAGCATGTGTTAATAACACATTGGCCTTTGTTGCCTGCTTTTCTCGAAAAAACATATTTGCTGCACATGCTAGTTGTGTTTCCAAAGCCATTTGCTTTTTGTTGTGCTCGAAATGAGGAGTAACCAATTTTATATTCCCAGATTCTATTTGTAACTGAACAATGCGTGTGATATTAAACACTTTTGCACCATGCTGGTTGTATATCCAATGAACTAAAAGCACACTTTCACCCCATGCTGGTTGGGTTGCCATGCCATTAGTCTTTTTTGTTGTGCTCGATTGTTGATGTTTTTTTTGTTCTTTTGCATCAGTTATGTCGAAAGTTGCAGCATGGAGGGGCATAAGCATTGTAGTGGCACCTGCATTAGATAAAAGAAAGTTAGAAATACCAACCCTTATATCCTCCTCCCTTAGGATTTGAATATATTGGTCGATTAAGTTATGCCTCCTGCTCTTCCTTTTCTCTTTGCTTCCTAACTCCTGTTCACCTTCACCCTTAGATTTGGACATTGTAGCTTATCTTCATTAACAAACCTCCTTCCCTGTGCATCTAGATGCCAGAATTGTTGGTATTCTATTTCTCCATTATCTAAAGCATAATTAGCCAAGTGATCTGCCAACTTGTTGCCCTCCCTATGAATATGAGTAACTGTTGAATTGCCCCCATTCATTAGTTGCATCATTTCCTCTACCTGCTCAGATATGATCCATGGTGATTTCCAGATCCCATCCATTATCTTTTTTAATAACATTGAGTCAGTTTGAAGCCATACATGAGAGTATTGTTGAAATCTGCAGAACCTTAGTGCTTCTACCATGGCCTTCGCTTCAGCTACTGTGTTTGTTGTCTCCTCAATCTCTTTCCCTACTGACTTGACTATGTCACCATTTTCATTTCTTATACAAAAACCTATTGAGCTCCTGCCTGGATTTCCCCTCGATGCACCATCCGTATTAACTTTTAGCCATCCTGCACTTGGAAATTCCCACATGACTTTTGTAACCTTAAGTTTAGGAGTGAAATTTTCCATCACTTCTAATAGATTTTGCCATTTGTGAGGTACCCTGTCCATCCCCGGCTTTCTCACTTTCACCAGTGCCTGGAGATTTGATGAAACTTGATAAATCACCCTGCTAGTTGTCACCGCCTCCCCATACTTCATACTATTTCTTCTTTTCCAAAGTTCCCAGACTACGCATGAGGGGATTGCTTGCATTACTAGTTTTAACCTTAAGCACACATTTGCAGTCCAACATTTTGTGATTGCTTGGTGCAATGTAAGTCCCTCCACATTTATTCCTGCCCTCGATAGAAAATACTTCCAAGTTGTCTTTGCAGTTTCTGATCTAAAAAACATGTGTTGAAGAGATTCTTCGTCAGGCTGTACACAACACCAACATTTTGACGACATGCAGTAACCTACCCTTTTCAAGAAATCATCTAAAGGTAGCTTTGCTTTCCACACTTTCCACATGAAAAATGCTATTTTAAAAGGCAGTCCCTTTACCCAAATCTTTCTATAAGCTATTCTTGGTTCGTCTCTTCTTCTCGTATACTCCCATGCTGACTTAACACTGAAATATCCTCTTGTTTCCAGCATCCAAAAAGGCCTCTCAAGAACCTGCATTGTTGAAGGTGGTTTGATTTTCTCCAGAATGTGTACTGCTAAGTCTTCAGGAAGTATTTGAAATAGCCTGTCCACATCCCACTCACTATCTAAGGTAACATCATGTACATTATGTATATTTTCATCAATGCCAAAGTCCTGAGGAACTAAAAAATATAGTGCCCCAAGACCTGTCCAGTTTTCATACCAGAATAGTGAGGATCCCATTTTTGTTTGCCATAGGATTTGATGTTCAATCAGATCTCTGCATTCCAACATTTTTTTCCAGATGTGAGACCCCCTTTTCCACGGAACAATTATAGAGTTTAATTTTTTACAGTATTTCTGACATACGAAAGAGCTCCATAGGCTTGGTTTTGTTCTGAAATTCCACCACAACTTGTTGAATAATGCCTTTGCTACATCATGCAGTGACCTGAAACCTATTCCTCCTTCCTCAACTGGCATGCATGAAGTATTCCATGAAGCCCAATGCCTACTAGTTCCTCCTACAGTGCTGCTCCAGAAAAACTGAGCAAACAATTTGTGCAACCTATTTATCACATACTTTGGAGGGTTTACAGTTGATAGTAGATGCATAGGCATGCTTTGCAAAACATGGGATATGAGAACTGCCATGCCCCCTACTGATAATAACTTGCCTTTCCATGATTGCAGTTTGTCCATTACCTTTGTAATTAGGGGCTGATAGAATTCCAGCTTTCTCCTTGCATAAAATATCGGGCAACCTAGATATATGATAGGGAAATCATTCCTATGAATGCCTGTGATCCTTTCCACCTTGCTGACCACTTCCATGTCTGTTAAATGATGTAGGTACACAGCTGATTTGGTCTTGTTAACAATCTGCCCAGATGCATCTTCATATGCCTTTAGCACTTGCATAATCAACATCAGAGATGTTTCATCTGAGGATGAGAAAATAATCATGTCATTTGTATATGCCAAATGATTGATCTTTGGACTCCACTTTGGCATCCCAAATCCACAAAAATACAGGTTAGTATGTAGTGCATTGAGACCCCTAGATAATGCTTCTGCTGCCAATATAAACAAAGTTGGAGATACAGGATCACCTTGCTTTATTCCCCTTGAGGACTTAAAGAAACCATGAGTTTGACCATTGATTAGAATAGAATACCAATTGTTTGAAACTAATCCAAAGACAATCCCTATCAACCTTTCTGTAAATACCATCTTTCTTAGAACCTTGGTTAGGAAAAGCCAAGATATTCTATCATAAACTTTGGTCATATCTAGCTTCAGGATGACATTAGGTCCAACCTTAGTTCTAAGCCTAATGTCAGTCACTATCTCCTGAGTTAGAAGGATGTTTTCTACTATATTCCTTCCCTTAACAAAACCCGCATGTTCCTCCGATATCAGACTTGGGAGAAATTTCAGTAGCCTTTCATGTACCACCCTTGATATAACCTTATTTGAAAAATTACTGAGGCTTATTGGTCTTAAATTAGAAAAGGTGTTAACTTCTTTTTTCTTTGGTAGAAGAACTAGGTTTGTGTGTGTTACAAATTTGGGTAGCTCATGACCATTGAAAAAAGCCCTAACCATGTCGTACAGGTCATCCCCTATTAAGTCCCAACAAGAATGATAAAATTTTCCTGTCATACCATCTGGCCCCCCAGCACTATCCCCATTAAGTCCAAATACTGCCACTTTAACTTCCTCTTTTGTTGGTTGCTTAATCAATTCTGCATTCTGCTTAGTGTTAATCAGATTAGGAACATGCTCTACGATATCAAATGATGAAGGAGTAGATGCTTCTGTGAACTGTTCCTCATAGAATTTAATAGCTTCTTCTGCAATTTCTTGTTCTTCTTCAATCCAGGTTCCTCCACTGTTTTGAATTCTTTTAGGCTGAAGTCTCTTCCTCCTACCTCTCACTTGTGCGTGGAAGAACTTTGTGTTCCTATCCCCTTCTTTGAACCAAGTCATGCCTGCCTTTTGTTGCCAATATTTCTCCTCTAATGCAAGACATTTAATCAATTATACCTGAACCTTTTGTAGTATTTCCCTGTTCATCCCTATAGGATTTGCTTCAAATTCTGCTTCATGAACCATCACTACCTCCTCCATACTTGCTATCTTTTGGAAAATATCTCCAAACGTAGCCTTGCTCCACAATGAAAGGGCTTTCTTTAATTTTTTTAACTTGTGATTAAAAAGAATATAAGGATTTGCACTGAAATCAACAAACCAATTCTCTTTCACCACATCATTAAAAGTCACATGTTCCACCCAAAAATTCAAGAACTTGAAAGGTTTTTTTACAGGTGGAGTCTCAATATCACACTTCAGATACATTGGACTATGATCAGAACCAGTCTTTGACAAATGCTGCACCTCTATTCCTGGAAATGTTTGTTGAAACTCAACATTGGCCAAACATCTATCTAGTCTTTTGAATATACAGTCTTCCTCTGTTCTCCCATTCCACCATGTAAATATGCTGCCTTTAAATCCAAGGTCGAAGAGATTGCAAATGTTGATGCAGTGTCAAAAATCATCAATTTCATTCAATGACACAGGTAAACCACCAAACTTCTCTTCTTCGTCCCATATTACATTGAAATCACCTCCTACAAGCCATGATGCTTCCATATCCCTTGCCATTGCATATAATGAATCCCATAATTCTATCCTCTCAATTGCTTCACATTTTGCGTATATCAAATGTTAGGACAAACTCCACATGCGATTTAGTATGAAACAATCTTAGCGTTAATTGTTGCACCATATTGTACATAACAGTTACCTCAAATACCTCATCTATAAAAGCCCAGATCTTGTTGGAAACATTTGAAATTGCCTGTGCAATTCCTATCCTATTTCTGTACCTTTCCAGTTTTTTTGCTTATTGCTTTGGCTCCATTAATCCTACAAAATCATAGTGATTTTGCCTATGCATTTTTGTCAACCTTTCAAAGGCCTGCTGTGTGTTGACTGACCTTATATTCCAAATGAGAGCATTCATCACTGATTGCTGGATTTAGTTAGCGTTCTCCTTGTGTGCACCCCAGTTTTTGGTGCTGCAAAATTATCTTTTTGTTGCTTTTTCTTTCCTTTTGCTGCTGATTTTGCCTTTTCCACTTGCGTAGGTGATAAGTCACCTTTCCTTGCAGCATTCATAAGGTGTTGGGTAGTTGATTCTTGATCCATGTCGTATCCTGATTTTCCAGGTTCTTCTCCTTCTTCATTGTCTTCCTTCCCTCCTGATGTAGCTCCAAATGCATTCTTTTTAGGGACCAAAGCTTTCTCTTCTCCTCTTTTTAACAACTGCAACTGGTTTTTCTCCAATGTAACAGTAATATTTACTATTTCTGTTTTTTGTTTTGGTTGTTTCTCCTTCTCTGTTGTGTTGTGTCCTTGTGGGTCTTCTTGTGATTTCTGAACTTGATCATCTTCTATTCCTCCAAGAGCATTTACCTCTGGGCCTCTTCCTTCATAGTTACTAATTTCTGTGACTTCTGCTGTCTGAAAATTATTGATGTGCTCAACATTTTCTGATCTTTCATTTATTAAATTATTACCAGTTGTATTGTTTTCATTGGCATGAATCTCTCCATTTACACTTTGCTCATCTTCTTCTTTGTCATTCTCACAACTCATCAGCTTGTGCTCCTAGTGGTACTTCGTTCTCCTCTGAATCGTATTCCCTTTGTGCCTCCCATAGCCTGCCTCCACATTCTTGCACTCTTTCTTTAAATGTAGATGATTTTGACCCTTCTGCTTGAGAATTTGGATTTTTATTAAGTATCTTGTTCACTAATGTATCTTGTGATGGGATTTCCTTGCATGGTTTATTGATCTTCACTATTCCTTCTCCTCTTTTATCCTTGAAGCTTCTTTCTACCCACTATGCGGTATCATTTTTTGCTTTTGATGCCTCCTTTCCATTGACTAGACCATTAGTCGAACTAATCCCCGATGAGTTTAGATGAAAAGCTTGTGCTGCTGGATTTAACTTTCCCTCATTATTGACCATATTTTTTGGTTTTTGCTTTGTAGATGCTTGGTTATTAAGTGCTAAACTGGTTGTTGCTACATTAGCTGCCACCATTGCCAATTGATTAACAGGTTCTTCCTCTTCATCCATCCCTTGTAATATTGCAAACTTGTTAGCTACTTGAACATGATCATTATCTTCATTGTCTACTGCCTCCAATTCCTTACCACTGTTGCTTTGTGCTTTTACTTGTCTCTCTACAGTGCTTGTACCCTAAATGTTGCCCCTCCAATATATCGGATTCCCCCTTATCTCAATAGTGCAGGAAAATGAACATGTGATTTTGTGTTTTGTTGCATGCCACCGCATTTCATATTGTGGAATTGCACAATTCATTCTTCTGAGCATAGTCTTGCAACATATTTGTGCACAAGCCTGTCCGATACACTGGCTGAGAAAGGCACAACGCCACTGCTCTAGAATCTGCAAGTTGCTTGAGTGCAACTTCAGCAGCTGATGGGTCTGTTGTCTTGTGATTTAAATCCAGGTAGAGAATTGCCTACATTTAATAGGCCGCTAAATTAGATGTAGTTCTCTAGGCCGAGGTGTGCCATTCATAATTGAATTCCTATGACCCTCGTATTAAATTTACAATGTAGACGTTCAAAATAATTATTTGTAGAAAAGCCTTTAGGTGCATTTAAGATACAACTGTGATTGTGTACACGTTTACGTGACATGATTATAATTTCTTAAAAACAAAACCAGAGTATGCTTTCGCGCAACTTTGGCCAAACTTTTCTTAACAAAGTGTCATCGATTGTGGAAACGTTTGCGTGACATGATTTTTGACGCGCCAAACAAATGGGTACACGTACGTGTGACCCATTTCAAGATAATTTCATTATTAAAAAGCGGTAAAATATAAATGTGCATATGTTCTAAAATCAGTAATAAAATAATTTTAATAAACCAAGTATGATCAAAGCGACCGTGCTAGAACCACAGAACTCGGGAGTGCCTAACACCTTCTCCCGGGTTAACAAAATTCCTTACCCAAATTTCTAGTTCGCGGACTGTAGTACAAAGTCAATCTTTTCCTTGATTCGGGATTCAAACCGGTGACTTGGGACACCATAAATCATCCCAAGTGGCGACTCTGAATTTTTAAACAAACAAATCCCGTTTTGACTGTCCTTTAATTGGAAAAAACTGGGGTGTAGGTAAAAAGGAGGTGTGACAGCTCTGGCGACTCTGCTGGGGATCGAACCCAGAATCTTTGGTTCAGGGTTCAAGAATTCGAGCTTGTTAATATGATTCTTCTTGGTTTATATTTTTTTTGTTGATATTACTGTATTCTGTGAACTTTTTGTGCTAAATGTTATATGTTTACCGCTTTAATATTATCTGGATTTTATATAACTGTCTTCTTACGCCACCCATATGAGTCTTCTGAAAATGGTGCATACGTTCGTGTAGCCCGCTTTTTCTGTAGAAATTATACCAAGTAGAACGAGGCTGGGCAAGCGACAAGGCCGGGTAGACTTCAGTGCTCTCGGTACGTCGCCCCCTCCTCGGCCCCAGTTGTCCGCTTGGGTAACCAAACTCTAGACCAAAACCCCAGGATTTAAACCTAGAAAAACACAGCCCATGCCGGATCCCTAGTAGGAACGTTTGTTTGCATCATGTGCATTTGACTTACGGGACTCAACACAGGGGTTGGGTCCGCCCAGGACAGGTGTGCCCGAAATAACATACCATCCTGATGCATCCTATGTGCTATGTTAACATTTATTTGTTGTGGCTTGCATACTGACCGGCTAGGGAAAATAAAGCGAAAAAAAGAAGAGAGGAAAACCAAGAGTGATATAGGGAAGGAAATAAAACCCGGTTCTAAATATCCCGGTATTTAAAAGCCCAAATTCTTTTTTGAAAAAAAAAGAAAATAGAAAAAATAGTTATTTTTAAAAGAGTCAAACACTGTGTTCTTTCAAATGTGTCAAAACTGACCGAACTACGCAGGTCTGATTCTCACCGGATGTGGGATACGTAGGCAACCTGCATAAGGTTCGGCCTTATTTTTGAAAAAAGAGAGAGAAAGAAAAACAAGAAAAGAGAGTCAGTGGTTGAGTGAATGCAATCTTGATTTTTGGTCGAAATAAGCCGATCCAGCTTCGGCAATGTCTTAAACCGTTCTTGCCGAGATAGCCTCAGAGTATTCTTCAGTTGTCGAAAGGATATTTACGTAAAAGAATGGACAAGTTTGTGAAGGGTCATAAAATAATTTCCCCCGGCCTCAAAATTCGCTTGAAACTGGGAAGGGGCCGAATTTGGAAAAACAGTCACTTGGCTAAAGTTGGCATATAGGAGAAGAAATTATGGTTCTTTTCTTCTTTTCTTTTCCCTTTATTTTTCTTTTCTTCTTCAAAAACTGGTTACAAAAAGGTCCACTCGAGTCAACCCTAACCTTAATCTTCCACATGAACAAATGAATACCATCCAGGAACCGCCAGAAGTGGTCAGGGAACAGGCTTGGCTACACTTGCATATGTGGTGGAATGATCTAGACGAAGATGGTCAGAAATGGGTGAAAAGCACTTGGGTGCTCTTATAGACATCTTTGAAATCAAACCATGGGAAGATCTGATCAAAGTTTTGGTAACGCTCCATCGGTGCACAAGTTCTTTGACCTCTTGAATATTAGTAAACAGACGAATAAAGAACGTGCGAGCAACGGGTGTTGTGCTTTCCATTTTTTATACTTCAGGTTCGGGCATTCTGCTGGTTTTGAAACGCATGAAAAGTGTTTGAGCAACAAAAAAAACAAGGGCCTTTGGCAAATTCATCGTCAGTTCGCATTTATTGTGGCATTCTTGGGGATCATGGTTTTTTCAAATGAGAAAGGAACGGTGGATATTCGTATGGCTAGAATTGCACAAATCCTAACTACCAAGGAAGATCATACACTTGCCTCGTTGGTGCTAGCAGA